ACAAGCCACAACGGTTGAGAACATTAATTTCACTCGATAGGACAACAAATTAAGAGCCGTATACTAACATATTGTCTCTTCTTCAATTACTGTGTCACCTCCACATTTTACTATAAACCGAGCTAATAATAGCCAAGCGCTGGAGTCACCTTAGAAAATTATATAATATGAGAGAAGTAGGGTATAAAATGCTATGGTGCGCCCATTTATATTTGCACTTACATTCACACTCTGAGATGAGACTCCGTTCCAGGGCTTCACCAAAAGCACTCATATCTGTTTCATCTCAAACTACGCTATTCCAAGGTAGATTTAGAGATAATCAATCGATCCCTATTACCTATTCATATCTGATAAGTAGATGTGGCACAGTCACCAAATTGGACCCCCTTCCAAGATTTTTCCTCTCCTACGTCCCGTTAGAGATACAACACGCAATCGAACACAATGAAGAACGAAATCAAACACAGGGATACAAGAATTTTAACGTAGAAAACCCCTCCAACACGAAAGGGAAAAACACGCACGCCAGGCAACGGATCTTCACTATGTCGAGGGAGGTTACAAACGCTGGGGATTCACAACTGATCAACTTATCCCGTGCGGTGGCTTAAAAATGATATATATACGCTCCGCTTGGGCACAAGCCTCCGGCAAGTTAGCTCTTATCTTTATACTTGAATCTGGATCACAACATACGACATCCTATGTATGTCATCTCGCTTCCCTCGACATATGTGGCTCCTCACCTCCCTCGACCAGGGCTACCTAGCATCTCTCAACAACGTGCGTCATCCCACGTCTCTCGACTTCCTAATCCAGTGGTCGACATTCACCGTGGCTTTAACCTATATCCTTGATGGGATGGAGGGACCCCCCCCCCTCCCCCACCTAGTGTGTACCTTTTCCAAGCTTCGTCGCCTCCTGAGGCTTCGACGCCCTCCCTCCACCTAGGTTTCACCGGGATGGAGGAGAAAGGTGGTTGAAACAGATTTGAGCTACTCCGCCGCCATTGGGCTTCCATCTCTAGGATCTTTTCATGCGTCGTCG